CACATGTCCACACACTTGTCCACAGACATGTTCTGGATGACAGCACTGAAGGGGAGAGCTGCGGTGACATTGTCTGGCCGGTGGAAACATCCTTTGAAAATGGCACTGCCATCTGAAAGAGACAAAAACAAACCAGGATGTTACTCGCTAACGGAGGAAAACACACACACCGCCGAGTCTAGTTTCATGGTTACTGAGCACGGCTCCCATCATAACAGCTCCCAGCCGCTGACCCCTGATGATGAGATCCCACTGGGACCACTAAGGCCCTGACCCGACAGCACACAGAACCACTAACAGAGCTTACATGGCTGATGAGTGATGATGACCTTTAACTGCAAATCCTCGCTGTGAGCTGATGGATGGAGGGACCCTGGATCAATAAACTGGAGAAAAGCGGCCAATATTTCATATAAGCATTTTTTACCAGGGCTTAATTCATTAATTAAAAATACATAATCAGATCATTAAAACTATGTTCCTGATCATTTTAGAGCAACTAGGGATATTTATAATCATTTCTTAAAAGTGTTGAAAACTCGTTTAATCAATACATTTACAGTGATCTCTGGTAGGAATGAATGCCTCGCAGCTCACGGCCAAGTCTGCGGCAGCCGGCAGCAAGATTTGGATTCTTATTTCCTGATATTTGGACATCTCGCCTTGGATTGGATAACAGCAAACTACCACTGACTCCATTTGTTCTGCAACATGGGTGTTTTATCTCCACAAATAACACAAGCCTGGAGGAGTTCTGCTGTGTGGTGAAGATGCTAATGCTAATGGTTAACTTCATTTAGCCGAGATGTTTAATGCTGTGTCACGAGCCAAGATGGTTGAGTCACAAAACGTGTCTACAACAGCATCTTAGGTGTGTCAGTTGCTGGTAGTCCAGTAGTTAGAGCAACTGCCTGGGCACTCTAACCACTGGACTACCAAGTCTGTTATAAAACAATAGTCGCCTAAGCCACATATCCAGTGCTAGCCAGAAGAGAAAGGTTTCAGACCAGAGACTAGCTTATAGGAGAGCAGCAGGCCCTGATGACGAGATTATCATTATATTGACACTTTACAGGATTTTCAAAGTTAAACTCCTAATTTGCAGCTGAGACCAGAAAATGCATAAATGCAGCCAAAAAGGGGTGTGGGGGTTTATTTTTCACAAGGAAATAATATCCCATGATAAAAAGCTCCAAAAGTGAATTTTCCATGATTTGGCCCCTTCAAAGAATGCAAGAAAAAAAATGTGTTTATTTGTTGGCTATAATAATAAATAATATTTTCTTGCAGAAAAACTCAGTTGCACACCAATTCCACAGGTTTTATTTTAAAATGATGTTTTTATAAGTAGATCAGAGTTAAAATCGTTGTCAAAAGACCTTCTATTAGTGAAAGAAAGGAAGAATTTAGTTGTCAGAATCAATCTAACAGATTTCATTTGCTTAATTCTTCATTTTTAAACTAACAAAAGAATGCTTTCATGTCCAAAATACAAAATACTAACCTTGAGGTGTTTTTTGTACGGCAACTAAAATTCTCATGTTTGGACATTTGCACAAATGAAGAGTCCCAAAAAACACAAACAAGAAGTCAGTTCCAGAAAACGTGCAGCTCAGGCTCGTTGACCGCTGTTAAAAACAGCCACAGAAGCACATTTACAGCATTTCCTTTCGGATGCTCGTAACAAAGGCTCATATGATAGTCATCAGGGCTTCGGGGTGAACAGCTTACACAGCACTTTGTTGGGAGGCAAACAAGGAGAAAAGCAGAAATGAAAATAATAAACAAGAAGAAAACAAGAAACAGCAGCGAGCAAGAAGAGATGAGCAGGAGGAATAATAAATCTGCGAGTTTTAAGACCAAAACCTAAAACAAAAGTGGAGGGACGGATGAGAAAAAGGAAGGGAGAAAGAAGAAGGTATGGACGTTGCCTCAGCTTGTTGCAGGGACTTTTTTAAATGAAGAGAAATGAAAATACCAATAAAAGATAAAGGAACAAGGCTGAAAGATGCATGCACAGAGTAAAATGTTTGACCAAAGTATGACACAAACTACAGTAATATGTGTGTTATATGTTTTCCTATCTGTTCAATCTAGCTCTAGATCTTATTTCCTCTTGTTGCATATATTTCTACATATATAGATAATTCAGGCCCATGTGTTAGAGTGTGTATTCTCGTGTTTCTTATCTTGAGGAATGTTTTGTTCATTTTTTCCAAAATAATAAAACTTTCTGCTCTGTTCTATTAAAGTACATCTACCTTATATGACAGCAGGATATTGACGTGCCTTTTCCACCTCAGTAATCAGCCCTTTCCTGTTACACTGCAATGTTTTTCCTGCAGGCATCGAGCAATTAGAGTTCAGACCGTGGTGGGATTCATAGGTAGAACGGTTCTACCGGGAATTATGAAAAGAGGGCATCCGGCTCCCAAATGTAGCAACAAGCAAAATTTAAATAATTTCCTGTACTTTAGAACAATGTCTGGAATAAATCAGGATCTTTGTTTATTCCCGGGACACATGTGTGGAGTTACATTTCTGCATCTAGATTTTTTAAATTAAATTTGAAATGATGAGTCCTTCTCTTGAGTTTCTGAGACATCAGGAGACTCACAGCGGCGCGCTGACTCCTGGCTCAGCTCCAGCCTATAGATGGACAGCCTGTTGGCTCCTCCACACATGTTGCTCTTCTCTCCTTTGCACCCCATGTTGCATTCGCTCTCTGAAGCGTTGGGTGCCTGAATCTTGTGCCCACAGTAACATTCTGCTCCAAACTCCAGACCCGCATACATGTAGCCTCTGAAGGACAAAAGAAGGAGGATAAAAAGACCAAAGGTGAGATCTGATTGTTTGTGGTGCAGCTTAGCCCGTCCCTAGCCATTACAGTGTATCCCTCTGAACCACAGTGTGACCTGTAATCAATGAAAACAAACAAACTGAGCGCCAGGGATGCTGACGCAAAGATGAAAACACACAGAAACGTCTCTAATAGGCGAGTGATGTATGCTGCGAGCCTCGGAGACAAAACCACTTATCAAAGTCTGGCATACAGGAGAGTGAATCCCATCTTTCCTTCCTTTATGAAAGATTTGACTCCCGAGAGAGCTCTCGCCGATGCAATTAGACGTTTAACATAACTCGCACACAGGACAGATCCCCTGGGCTGTCAGTCAAACCCAAACCACCGTGCGCTGCTTTGTATGGCCTCTCATTTGTTTGTCGACTTATATTAACCCGCAGCTCTGGAAGAGAAGACAAAAACCAAGCAATAAGAGAGAGAGAGAGAGAGAGAGAGAGAGAGAGAGAGAGAGAGAGAGAGAGAGAGAGAGAGAGAGAGATGGAGACAAGCATCTTTCTTAGCTCTGATTCTCAGCTCTACGAATCAGTGATGGGTGTAATTTAATGCATTTGACAGAGCCGTCCCTGGTATTCCACAGGGAGGAGAAAAAGAGGTGGGAGGAAGATGGCGAGGAGGGAGACGGGATGTGGGAGGAAACATAAAAATGATGGAGAAGAGGAAGAGGGGCTTTGAAAACCTTTCACATATTTCTGGTTTTTCATAAAACAACACTTTGAAAATGACAAGAAATCTGTGATTCGCGTCAATAATAATAGTTTTTGCTGTTAAATCCTCTAAATCGGATATTCTCCTGAAGATTGCTGCAAAAATGATCTGTTATTTTGAATAAATGTCATTCAAATAAAAAAAAACATTTCATCAGTTCATTTAATTTCACTTCACAAAAATAGAAGAGGAAGTGAAACATGGATGCATCATCCCTTCATGCATATAAACTTCCTGGTTTCATTAAACAGCCTCCGTTGGTCTTTTTATAGACAGTTAATCATCATAACAAGGTCACACTGGGTAATAATTACAGGTATCCATAGATCTGAGAGCAAAATGTCGCCTGATTAGAACTTTCAGTGCAGGGCATAATACAGGTGATGAAAATCTCTACATCATAGTCAATTTATTGAGTTGAAAAACACCTGAGGTAGATTGTGAACGTCTCCAGGTGTAATGGAGCACAGAGATGATTCTCTAGGAAGACTGATGAAGATAAAATGCAGATATTAAAACCTTTTGATGCTTTTATTTGACTTATTTTCACATTAAAGACATTTCCATTCTATAAAGCTCATTTCTGTGGGATTGACGTAAGCATGGACCACATCCTGTTTCATGTCTCCTCGGCTAAGAACTGGACGTAACAAAAATAGAAAAAACATGGAGGAATAAGTGATGGATGATGGTTTTGTTGTTTGCTTGCCTCGTACCTTTCAGCACAGTTGTCCTGGCAACGGAATACAGTCATTTTTTTGTAGTCAAAAAAGGAAACTCCTCTCAGCGCTCTTTTCTGAGTGTCATCAACGTGGCAGCCGATGTACTTTGCTGAAAAAAGAGAATCGAATGTTACTAAAATTCACATGAAACTCAGACAGAACTGTCGATTTGTGGATTTTAAAATGGAAATTCCTCAAAAGTGGCTTTGAGAAGAGGAACATCATCTATAACGCCGTGTGTTTTTCACAAGGTTGCATGGTGTAGTAACCACGAAGCACAGGAGGAGTCCAAACTGGGGCAGTATCATTATTTATTAACGAAGACACACATCCCCTTCTAGTGGCCTGTAACTGTAGTAGCAGTCATCGTGCTGCAGAAGTGCGTGCGCTTGTGTGTGTGTGTGTGTGTGTGTGTGTGTGTGTGTGTGTGTGTGTGTGTGTGTGTGTGTGTGTGTGTGTGTGTGTGTGTGTGTGTGTGTGTGTGTGTGTGTGTGTGTGTGTGTGTGTGTGTGTGTGTGTGTGTGTGTGTGTTAAAAGGAAGCTGAGGGAAGCCAGCAGCCCCCTGCATTACTTTAATTGGTGAAGTTTGACGGTCTGTGCCTAAGCAGCATGCAGTGAGCTGTAATCCGCTGCTGTTTCACGGCAGAACGCTGATTAAAAATCTTTGCATATTTGCGAGGTGAGTGAAGGAGGACAAGTCGGATGCACCTGCAAATCCAGAGAAAAAAACGAATATTGGAGAAAGGAGGAGATAAAATGAGATTCCCTGAAACCCAACATGATGGAGAAATGAGTGCTGTTGGATGCATGAAGGAAGGCAAATGCTTTGAAGCTATTAATTACTCCATCGTCACAATCCGCTGCTGTCCCGAGAGGTTAGTGTTACAGAAAAGAGATGCACGGGGGAGGAGGAGGGAGATGGAGACACCTTCATTTGATCTGATAACCTGATTGGTGGACGTCACAAGCACGTTGGTTTTCCTGTCCTTGAGTTGGCGAAGGCTCAGCCCTAAGTTAATGATATATCAATATATATATAGTTTTGGTGTCATGTCATTCTGATCTAATGTAACTATGACTTTTGACAAAATCACAGATGTTTGGAGTGTTTTTTACACTTTTTTGTGATATTTAGATACAAAAATCGCTCTCAACAGAAACCAGAAGCTGCAATCCGACAGACATTTAATAGGTGAATGAAAAACCTTCTCCCTGCCAGCCCAGTTGTCAGACATTTATATCTAAGGTTTTTAATAATCACGGTGTTTGTGCTGTGGGAGTTTGTTTTGAAACTAATGTTAAATTTCTTATTGAGATGTATTTTATAATAAATTTGCCTTGACCTTGGATTATCTAGTCAACCATTCATTACAGAGTGGTTTTACTCATTTAATCAATATATTTGCAGTGGTCTATGGAAAGAACGAATGCGTTGCAAGTCGTACGCGGTGCAAAAGAAGCCCAGAAATGCTTGAATCAGCACGGACAAGCCTGTTGCTGCAGAGAGTGGCACAACAAGGCAGGACTGAGTCTTATTTCCTGATGTTTGGACATCATACCTCGGACTGGTCAACAATAACGCGACTCTACCACTGACTTGCAACGTGGATATTTAATCAACACAAATAACACAAGTCTGGAGAAGTTTTTTCTGCGTAGTGGGGTTGCTAATGCTAACAGTTAGCTCCTGTTTGCTGAGATGTTCTCTGCTGTTTCCTGGACGCTAAAACAACAACAGCCTCCCCATCATGAGTTAAGATGGGTGAGTCCATGAATGTTAGTAACAGTGTGACGTAGATCTGTCAGGATTTTCTAATCCTAGAGTTTCACAGTCTGTTTTCTATCAGAAGCTAATGCAGGAGATAGGTGTAGGAGACTATTTTCATGATCAGCCTGCATGAAAAACTCAGAATGAGCGATTATAATCAGTAATAAATGCTTTTTTAGAGTTTCACACTTTTAAGGAAAGCACTAAACTTAAGATTTATGGGAACGTTTGAATAAAAAGGTAAATTACAATACAACTCTAGTTAAATAATTACAATTAAGATTAAATGAATCTGCAAAAACAAAATTCTTCACCCTTATGTTCTTTTTGTGTAACGGCTTTACCTCACATGTAAAAACTTCAACAGTTAGAAACAAATTCTAGATAAATCAATATTCCGGGTTTGCGAAAAATCGGAATTTTTTCACTCTTGTCTCCACGACCCTGGTAATAAACTGATGTGGTTACTGTGACGTTAGCACTTTTAGAGTGCTGTAGGGAAACAAAAAGAGCTTTATTTGTGACTGACAGAGTAACAGACGCTCTGAGGAGGAACAAATAACGGCGCCGAGGACATTTCCAGACATCCGCAGCTACTTTACTGTATTTTTTGAGGAAAGCAGGATATTTGTGCCATTCAGGCTCAGAGGTGTCAGCTGATGATGATCCCAAAAATGGAGTTTACATGTAAACCTGATCTGACGGGATTGTGTAGCAGCACAGTCTATAACAGTGGGAGATAAAACAGTAAATCCATGCAGTTGTGGACATGTTGTGATGATATAATCTACTATTGTCTGGGTGAATGTGTTGGGCAGCAAAGCATTGAAGGATTTGCACAAAGGAACAACAAACCCTCCTCCTCATCATCCAAAGACCAAATACAGCTTGGAATGCTGAGCCATTAAGATGCAGCAGAGATTTCTTCATTTTATAGCCGCATGAAGTTGGATGAAATCTGTGTGTGCTTTGCTGCGCCGTACATATTTAAATCAGCTTGTTTAGCAAAAACAAGTTTGGCGTTCGGATTTGTTTCAGGGTTTTTTTTCTGAAAGGGTTCACTACTGCACAAGTGAGGGTTGGGAAACAAGCTGAGAGCTGAAATAATTCACAAATGGTCTCCATCTCACCTCTCCCATCATCAATCTCTTTGGCATTGCGTCCTTTAAGTGCCCGGTTCCAGCTGCTGGCGTAATCCCCCCCCTTCCTTTCCGTGCTGTAGCCCTGCCGTCCGCTTTTTCTCATCCAACGAGGTCCAATCCTCAGCCCCGGCCTGTGTGTCTCCCTTAACACACGACTCACAATGCCGATCCCCCGGGTGTCCGATAATGAAGCTCGGCCGCCTGTCTCTGAAGCAACGGCAGAGACTCTGCCCCCTCGGGCCCTAGAGCCGCTGTCCCCGATGAAGCCTGAGTGCAGGAAGACGAGGCTCCCCGCAGTCAGGTAGAGGAGGATGAGGGAGAAGAATCGGACAGGTTTCCTGCAGAAGTAGCGCTGTATCCTCAGGAGAGGCTTGGCCATGCTGGCTTCCTCGGCCACTCTGACACTCTCTCACAGTGAAGAAAACTCATAAAGCAAGATTCGATTCCAGATTTATGTCTGATCCCACCACACAGCCCTACTGGGGAGAAAAAAAGTCAGTGAAAGTGTCTTAATCTTGTACGGTCATCCAAGAGCAATCGCATGACTTCTCAATCATGTGTGGATCTTCGGTCCCCTAAGAGAGATGCTCTGCATGGGCGCACTGTGCCTCGCTGCCCCTCGTCCACATGAGAGCTGGCGCTCGTTCCCACCGACAGTCCAGTTCTCACAGCCGGCTACGGGGGCATGGCACGAAAAGTGTGTGGTTCAGAGTGAAAGATGATCGGCCAGTGCTGCTTTCAATCCAGTTATCAGCCTGTGAGGAGATACCACAGCAGCACTGCAGCAGCACTTTCTCCCACGCTGCGCGGAAGGAAGAAGGCTTTATTTACCAGCCGAGATGAGATCCTCCGGCTTTGTGCAGCCGGCTATTCACTGAGATGATCCTGGCAAAAAGAGGGCATGACTCACCATCTGCAGTAAAGACACACACAAGGAGAGAGAGGACAAGCACATCAGAGAAAGCTGTAGAAGATAGGACAAGCAAGTTAAGGTTAGAAACTTCCTGGGAAGCTTTGGATTAATCAGAAAAATCTCCCCTCTTGCATGGAAAATGTTTCTCAAACAAAAATAATTCACAAATAACAATATATATAGGGAGGAGGAATCAAAGATGATGACTAAAAGCAATAAAAGTGTTTTGAAGGAGACACTGAACATATCAAGTGTGGAGTTGTGCATCATCTTTGGTAAATAAGGCGAGGCCGCGTGAGGGGAGATAAACAAGAGATCTACCCTGGAGCCTTTCCACCGAGCTGTCTGAGATCTAACATGAGAGGGAATGTAAGAAAATTAAAAACATAAATCTGGATGTTGTGAAGTGACAGAATCAGAGCAAACGGGCTCAAAGTGTGCAAAGGTTAAAAATCTGCAGGGGGAAAACAACTCATCTGCTGATTTTCTTCTTACTTATCATAATTCTGAGATTTACTGACAACGGCCTTTTTTTTCCCCCTTCACTATACAAAAAGTCCGAAGCCTCCCTCAAAGGGGTCTCTGTTCTGGTACGAGCCGAGGAGCCTTCAACTGGGAGGTGTAACGCAACACTCCTCAAGGTCACGGAATTTTCCAGAAACATTCAGGGAGACGCACAGCCTGGTGGCTTTCTGTCCACTCTGGGGACAAATCTGCACCGTACTCGTCACCTGAAACCTCAGTGGCAGCGCAATCAACCCCCCACCCCCGCTCTCTCGTCTCCCCTCCTCTGACTCGCTACACCCGGAACGTTCCAACAACCTGCAGCATCCGCGCAGAAAGAGAAACAGATTTCCTGCGTGGAGCTGCAGAGGATGGCTGCATGAATGAATGAATCTCCAGGAGTTTAGCAGGATAGTTTGGGGTTCTGTGGGTGTTTTATTGGTGCCCTGACACTGATACTGTCTTATCAGCAGTCCAGATAAAAATCCAGGGCCAGAAGCAGGTTGGAGGTCCCTTCACACCAATGAAAACACGGCCAACATCAATAACAGCACATGGTTGTGACTTTTCTGTTTGTTCACAACAGGATGGATGAGTTAGGTGTTTCATTTTCTTTCCCATGAACACGAGCAGCCTCCGATCCACACGAACGTCTTTTTGCACAGTTTGATCATTTCTTCATTTCCACAGATCAGCAGCTGAGCAATCATATTGAAGAAGTCACAGAAGAAGCATAAATATTCTGTTTGTTTTCATGGAAAGAAATATAGATCATATTTCAGGTGAAGAACGCAAAAAACTGGGATTAGGAATCTTATTTTTGATTTAGACTCTGAGTCAATAGAAAAACAAAAACTGCTGCTCCCACATCGGCACCTACCCTGAAAAAAAGCAGCAGAGAGATTATGAGTTGTTAAAAAGGGTTAAAAAGCTGATGCGATACCTTTTCATAGAAAACGCAGTAGATGGGTTTGTAGAGGAGAATATACGGAGGAAATGTGTGTGCGATACCCAACTCTGTGCCCCTTCATGAATGAAACTGCATCCTTACAGGTTAATTACTCCTGTTAATAATTTACTTCTCCTCGCAACACTGAATCAAACTAAACTCTGTTCAGTTAACGAGGTAAAATGGAATCAGCAGATGTAAAATATTCACAGCAAAAATGAAGATCTGAGCTTGACTTAAAGGGGAAATTCAGATTTAAATGAATAATTAACTGCTTACCTGCTGGAAATAGGTCTTTGAATTTCCTCAGTTTGGAAAAACAGAGTTTAGCTGTGATGAAAATATGCTTCTAGTTGTAGTTTCTCCAGAAACGTATCTACAACAGGTAAGATCATTTCCTCTTTTTAGCTTGTTTTTTCAAAGGCTAACTGACTTTTACCTGATAATAACAATTAAAGGCATAACAGACTTGAACATTATTATAAGAGTCTCTAACATCCACAACAACTGATAGAAATGTATCAGGAGCAGAGCCAGACCAAGGCATACACAAATTAAGCAACTTGGGGCCCCCATGCTGCCATAGGTCTCCCCTAAAAAGCACCAAGATGGCTTAATGTTTTCATAACTTAATAATACAAACAAAAACATTTAAATATTATTTCCTATATTTTCATTTGGTTTTATGGTGTGGTGATAGCATGTTTTACACATCTAGTCCAAATTTTAAGAGGAAAAGACAGTAAATGTCACTTCTTTAAAGTAAATGTCACTTTATAAATTCAGTGTTTATCTCTTGATGTTACCTTCAAATAGTTGAATTAATTTACCACACTTAAATAACACTGCATTTGGAAATGCTAATTAATTAGCGCATTTTTGTTCCTTTGCTAAGTCAAATGAATAGCCATAATAACACGGGCATGATGTAAGCTGCTTAGAAATTATGCTAAAGATAGTGGGTGTCATAAACACAAAGTGTTGTCTAGGAAGAATGAATCATCTGGTGTTGACTTATTTGTATGGGGGACCCCAAAGAAAATCTTGCTTAGGGCCCCACAAATGCGTGGGCCGGCCCTGATTAGGAGACAAAACAAGAGTTAAAAACTCAGGATGACTCAGGCAGAGAGAACTTTTGCTAATTTTTTTTCCCAAGTGGACACGAACTCTTTAAAAACAGCCATTCAATGACAACTTAATCAGAGCAGATTTACGGTGGGATATTGAATCTGCGTGGAGCAGGAGCATCAGCCTGCTCTGCTCGTGCTGCAGGGAAATTACTCCACAATTCAAATCCATGAATATTCTTTATGTTGGCTCTGGGCTTCATCAAACAGGGAGAGGTGCATAGAAAGACGGAGAAACTTCTTGGAAACACAACGTTCTACATGATAGCAGCTGAACAAACCAAATGAAACAGAAGAGAAAGCTTTCAAAAGTCTTCTCACAAGCATCAACGGGACCTGAAATGAGGAGTTTGGATTCATGACAGAAGCTCATTAAATATTCAGTCCTGTTACTTTGTTCTACAGATGAGATCGATTCCTATTTCCTCATCTCTGGCTTGACACAAATCATTCCTCTCACCAGGAGGTGGAAGAGGCGTCCCGACGGGGACAATCCCCTCTGCAGTTCACACCACCTGGAGGAAATTAGCTGCCATGTTCTCTGAAAGCTGAAAATTGGTTCTTCTTGCAGGATATTTTACGGTTGTTGGAATAACAAAGGAAAACAAGTGTTAGCAAGGTTATATTTGGACTGCAGTTAAAGGAAAAACACTCAACAATAGGCTTCAAAAGAAGGGGAAACACTGTTGTTGTGGGAACATGATCACCAGAAGCAGGAAGACGAGGTCATCAAGCGCTCTGGTGCCAGCTAGTGGGACAGGAAGCTGTTTAGGTTTGTCTTATTGCCCTTTTGTCCCTATCGCCCTGAACGGTGCTGTCTGTCAGGCGTCAGAATTACCCTCCCCTCACCTTGGGGCCTGTCTCACCTCTATCCTCATGTTCTTCCTGCCAGTGAAAGTTAGCTGTGTTTGTCTGATCAAATCAAACTGAAGATCTCATTTCTGCGCCAGTGAAAACAGTCTGCAGGCTCACGCTTACAAAAAGGTGGTTCCACATAGTTAGCTGGATTACAAATGCAAGAGAAAAGCAGGCACAAGCAGAAATTCAGCCTGCTTTTATGTCAACATACACGTTTATGCAGGCAGCTGCTCCTGAGCTGCGTCAGTAAGAAAAGGAATGCTTACAGTCTATACGAGAAAGTGTTGAGGCTTAAATAAACCACTTCAATGCCAAAGTTTTGCTGCGCTGCACGACCAATTCAAGTGCATGGATCAGCGCTGATGTCAAGTCTTAGAAGTGCAGGACGCTTGAAAGCTAGAGTTGCTGCTTTCAGTAAAATAGGATCATACTGCCAAAGCATTTTTCTTCTCTTAGTGTTTGCCAAAAGCTGTCCTGGGGCATGTTACAGGTTTGGTTTCCCCTTTTCTTGTCAGCCATTTTGAAAACACCTGATTGTTCTGTGGACACAACAGTGAATGGCATAAGGCCCGCTTCCACTGTCGGAACTTCAGAGCTTCAGGGTAGAAGCTTTCACCAGGCTGGCCAAAAGAGACCGCTTTTCTGGGTCATTTCAGGGTTCAACTAAGTAGCTGAACTAGGCGGGACTCGAGGAAAACTCTTGCTGATTGGCTGTAAAGCCTGAGTCATGCTTCTCCGTCTGCGTTAGTGCGGAGACACGCAACGCCAATATCCGTCCTTGCGGGCCTGCTGGAGAGCTCCGCAAGGACGGACGGAGTCGACCTCTCTTTTCAAAACATCCGTCCGTCGAGATGGACAATGCAAGCTTGTGATTGGTCAGGACGCCACTGTTGTCTACACCGCCGCCATTGTGCCCTCAAAAACATAAAGAGAGCCGAGGATAACTAGCGGCAGACACGGAGAAGCTTGAAGAATAAAAATACTCTAAAAATATGAACTTTTAATCCCCTGTGACTGGAGGAGTGAAATATGCACATCAAGCGTTTTATTTGTGGATGGAAATGACAGGAAACGTGGGTTTAGAGGTGGCGAGCGCATGAAGAGGTGGAGGAGGATGAGAGACAAATTTGTCTGTGTTAAAAAGTCTCGTATATACAAGAAACACAATATAAACACACTATCTTGGACCGGATACATGACAGGATACCACAGAACAGCGCTACGCCCTCTGTTGTCCTGGTGGGGTATTGCGGTGCAACACTCCCCAGGAGACGGAGAAGTATGAGGGCAAAACATCTCCGTCCGTGCGTGCGTGTCTCTCCCTTTTGGAGCTGACGGAGAAGCATGAATCAGGCTTAAGTCAGTAAGAAATGATTGTTGCCAAAAGACTGATATTTGTAAAATTGTTCCATGTGAAAACTCATAGGGAGCCTAAGCCACGCCCATCTACTTCCGGACCATGAGTCCCCGGAAAAAATATAGCTCTTTTAATCCCATTGACTTGCTTTCCTTTTTTGTTCCTCCAGGGACCCATGAGCATAGTTGGGGTTTTTTAGGAGGGGGGGCACGGGGTGCATGTGACTTTTTCCAAAGTCATTTTTTGCCCCCTGCACTTTTTACCATCTGCTCATCTCATCTTCTCAGTCCCTACACCCCCAGCAGGTCCCTGAGGTCCAGTGACCAAAGCCTACTGGTTGTGCAGAGCACCAGGCTAAAGACCAAAGGTGACAGATCATTTTCTACTGTGGTCCCCAGACTCTGGAACTCTCTCCCCCTGAACCTGAGATCAGGGGACTCAGTGGACTCCTTTAAAATGCAGCTGAAAACTCACCTGTTCAAGCTGGCTTTTGCGAGACCATTGTTGAGGGTCTGCCCTCATGAGAAATTGCTACTCAGTATTTTCTCCAAAAGACTGTGCCAAAAACGCCCTGAAGCGTAAAGAAATAAGGCATATTTAAGCATCAGCACCAGCTACAACTTCATTTCCCATGATTCCTTGAGCCGGAAGCAATGTGATGACGTCACCGCAGAACCCCGGAAACACGTTCTGCGCATGTGCGGGAGCCACACAGTCTCAGCCCGCCAGCCGCTGAAAGCCATAAATTTCAGCAAAAACGAAACTTATTCGTTCTTTTGTCCAGTTTAACTGGCGGTGAAGGAAGGTTTGTACGGCTCCGGGCACGCCGGGAGGCCTGGCTGCTGAAGTGGATCGAACACCGAACCGCTGAAAAGCAGTGGAAACCCATCAGATCTGCTCCCCTGGTGCTCAACTCCAGCTGATGTGTGAGAAATCGATCGCTGCTACGACTCTGGACGTGTGAGGACACAGAACCTGGCTGGAAAGCAGCGGAAAACCATCAAATCAACGGAGAACGACGATTGGAACATCTGGGGGACGCCTCGCTGTTTTCGTTCGTTCAAAGTTTTTTTCCTATCTCTCTATTCTTTCGTTCCTTTACTAGTCCGAACAAGCAATAAAACCGCGCTATTGCTTCAAATTACATCGGTTTTCTCTTCTCTGTACCAAAAAACGCCATCGGATCCTTTTAAGAGAAAGCCGTTTTGTTTTTTGTCATTGTTTAGTATCTTAAATATTTTTTATGCTGTAGCCAGGCTGACAAACTATCAGATATTCATTTATGATTGATCTTTTGAGTTGTTTCTTGATCTTTTTGAAGTGTTTTGAGTGAATTAAGTTTAAGTTACTGTGATTGAACGTGCTTCGGAAGTTTAAAGTGCAAGTTGCCCACCCACCCACCCACCCACACACACACACACACACACACACATACACACACACACATGCACACACACATTCTGGTTTTCCCTGTTTAGGGGGACAAACACACATACTTGTTTTTTGTGTTTGGCGGGACTCAAGCTAAAACACACATTCATTGGGTCAGATTATTTTACAGTCTCATTATTTCATTGTTAATCCATTGTTATTTGTTTGATAAAATACGTTGGTTAATATTGTTGGCTGAACACTTCAGAAGGAGCTGAAGTGAATAATTCAGCTAATAAATGTTATTCAATTAAGATTCTGTCTAAGGTGATTTGTTTGTGTGATATGAATTATTCAACTGCAGCTCGTTAGGATTCACGGAACGTTTAGACGAGACTGATAAGAGTTTTGGATTCAATTTGTCCCCTGTTAGAAGGGGTGGTGCCCCGCGGATATCCCCGGATATCCTAATTAATTAATAAATCGGTAAATATTTCCATATTTACGAATTTATTGAAGAATCCAAAAAGTAAGTAAAAGCTTACAAATTATTCGATGACATATAACCCCCAACACCATCTTCACCACCCTCTCCTTATTCTGCTCTGGTTCCGCCTTTCCCAGGATCCACTGATTTCCCTCTTTCCCATTCATTTTCTCTTTCCCTCTCCTTACGTTATTTTTGTATTCGCAATTATAATTTGTTTTCATTTTAAACATATTTTAATCATTTTTTAAATATTTTTTAATACGTCAATTTTTTTTATTTTTGTAAAGTGCCTCGTGATTTTTATCTTTCTTTCTTTCTTTCTTTCTTTCTTTCTTTCTTTCTTTCTTTCTTTCTTTTCCATCCAAAAACAATATATGCTATATTAAATAGACACTGGTTGAGCACTAGGACCAAGAGGAAAACATCTGCTTGTGTTGAAGCCTGTTTCCCATTCGAACCGTCCATAAGCTCATCTATTGGCTCGGCTGATATTTGCTAACATGTGATTGGCCGTTTGTGCCACCTGTATACTTGACAGTTCTGCCTTCCTGATATTGCATAAAAGAGCCTCTAGGCTGTAGTTTTATACAAGTCTTTTGTATGCTTACTGTAAAGATGGGGACTGGTGGCTACGCTTGGGAACTTGGTGATTTAGCCCCCTAATCCACCCCCTCAAAGCTGAGTGTCAAGAGGGGAGGTAATGGCTCCCATTTTTAAAGTCTTTGGTATGACACGATCAGTCATGAACCCCAATCTCCCAGTCGTAGGGCAGACACTCTACCATTAACACGTTGAGAAAATAAAGGTGCAGTTTGTAAGAATAAAATAAAAATGACATCCTGTGGTCAGATTTGGTTACTGCAGCCCATTTTCAAAACACTCTACTGTTCTGTGAGTTTGGTGGCTGTTGCCAGTTATGGATCAGCACCAGAAGATTCTAGATGACGAGTGAAGATGAGTCATACACAGTAAGTTGATGAACAAATACATTTCACTGTAATATCGAGTTGTTCGTAATTGAAAAGGTAGCTTAAGATTTGTTTGCTTCTAATTTACCGTTAGCATTGTTAGCTCAACGTTAGCCTCTAGCTTTCTTTGCCCAATATTAGAGTTAAAAAAAGATGCGATGGTTTCATGGGGTACAAGAAAAAACTTCTGAGTCACTCCTGTTTTCTGGCTTACGTTTTGCCAGCCAGCCTCAAAGTACAAATGCCCGCGGGCTTACAGAATATAAACAACAACTATGGGAAAGAACGGCCAACCCCCCAGCCAGCTGAGAAGGAAATCTGTTTCAATGGGGCCTTCCTTCCAGTATGATTGAGACATTAGACTGTTTTGTGATTATTTGCTAAATTCTTACGTACTGCACCTTTAAGGTCTGTTGACATTATTTTTAAAAGACTCCCTAAAAAGATTTCTCCCTGAAGCGGTCAAGTGGTGCGTTGGTGCCACAGAATACATCTAGTGCCTCCACTTTACATTCATTAACCTTACATCATTGACCCGCTTTAAAGTTAATTTTAGACATTAGCCCTGCAGCGCAGAACCATAGCATATAAATGAACATTCCTCACGTTCAACCCCTTCCCTGATGAGTTTACACAACTTCCATTAAGCCCCCTGCAGCAGGAAAACTATACGTGTTTCTGCATTTTACTTCTGCGTCCATTTCTTCTTTCTCTGACTATGTCAGAAGAGACTCCATGATGGGGGTAACGTCTTTCCAGAGTGGCTTTTACTGCTGTATCCATAGCTGATAACTGTTAATTTAGAAACTACATTTACCATTTTAACCGTTCTTTAATCCTAAACTCAGACAACAGAATGAGCATCAGAGCAGGTGTGGCTCAGAGCCAATCGGAAGGTCGATAGCATCTGTGGGCAAAAGCAATACCTTCTTCTATGGCCTCTATTTATTCTTCTGTGTATACAGAGTAAAAAGCACTGCACAGGCTGAAAAAGTTTATATACTAGGAGTGGTTCGGTAAGTGCTCAGACACCAGAAGAGTGCCGGATAGACGCAGCCCATTTACAGTTTAAGAGATGCTTCTGGGCAGAAGGTTCAATCCATCAGCCACTGCACAGACAAATAACCTTTATGTATTATTTTAGATCCTGTTTCACTTTGATTATCATCTGCAGAAGCATCAAAAGTCTCTGCATTCCTTGTTTATTGAGTGTTTTTTCCTACATATTTTAGAGACAGGACCAAACTGAAGCGATTGTTACACACCATCTGCTGAAAATCCTCTTTCTCCATTATCATTCCATTTGGCACCGGAAAGTTAGAAACCACCAATGGCAGGGAATGTTTTTAAGCGCACACCCTGTGATGCTGAAAAACTCGGCGGGGAAAAAGCTCATTGTAATCCTGATAATGCTGAATGGTCCATTAGGCTCAGTGGTGACCTTTTTCTCAGAAAGAAAAGAGGTAAATTAAAAGGTCTAAAAATAATGTAATCCTCGTCTTTGGCAGTTGCACTGCAGTGTCAAGCTGGAGCGTTGTAATTGAACGGCCGGCGATCATCAACGTTTCCACCAGATAACCGACTAAGAGTCGAGACGAAAATGAAAGGAGCAGATTAATTGCGCCATTGTGATTGTAAGCACAAAGCAGCAGCTTAATTAGACAAAAACTGAAGAAATCATCTGGATTTTTGCCGGTTCTGACAGGAAATAAAACGTAAAAAGACAGATCGGATTATTTTTGTAGGGGAAAATAATGACATATTCTTGGTGCCAGCAGACAGAAACTAAAGATGCTTCAGCTCCGAAGAGAGAAAATGTTCTCTGTGTGAGTTTTTGCCGCATCCAGATCCCATTTGGCCACGTAGATCGACATTAGAGAAACAATCACTTGAACCGGTCCTCTCTAATGGCTTCATAAGAGTAGTAATTATTCTGCAGCAGGGAGATGCTGTCAAAGGGAGACCAAATGATGTCTTCTTCTAACAAAACCTCAACGGCGCTCCTCATTCAGCCCCTTTCAGACTACTTGCTGTTGTTTTTTTTCTCCACTCTTCTCCTTACACACCTCCTCTAAGCACAGAGGATCTCTCTGCTTTAATTAAAAGTGAATTCTCTCAGCTCCGTTCTGCTGTGAATCTCGGTCATTTCTGCTTGAACAGACTTAAGAAGGGATTGCAGAGGGTTTCAGCAAATGTTTAATTTGTGAGGAAGAAGAGTGGAAGAGTTATGGGGGGAAGTAGGAAATATTGTGTGGAAATTTCAACCATTTCAAACAGCCAACAATTAACGTAAAAAAACACAGGAGGGGGAAATTTTAACTGCATGATGCAAAAAAGTTACATTAATTATTTAAAGTGAGCGAGGCTCTTCTATTCTTTCATGTCACACAGTGAATAAAACCGGATTTCACTAAGAAAATGTCCTCAGCAGCGCTGAGGAGTGGGCGTTTTGTTTTTATTTAGGGTCAGTGTTAAAAATGTTAAAGAGTCAAACGACTCCTTTTACAATTTCTGACACTGATCTTCTTTTCAGTGTGTAATGTCAAACTCAATCATGCCAACAATTGGCAGTTTGTACTGAACCCTCTATTAAGTAGTCAGTCACCAAATTATCTTCGTGGAAATGATGTTAACTTTGATCTCCAACTATGTTTCTGAAAAAATCCAACTGCTGTCTGGGTGAAAGTGCTCTGCTAACTTCCAAACTGCATCATTATGTAAGAAAAGCAATGATTTGTAATGGGAACGTATTTAGAATTGATTACAGAGGAAATTGGAAAGCTGTTTACTGAGTTCACTACTTATGCCGATAATTGATCCTCCCCTCCAGACAATCTTAACGACACGTCTGATCTAAATATAATCTTGTCAGATGTTCCTGCTGTGTGTGGTGTGTTAAAAGCTCAATAGCACGTCTGGATTGCTCGGACAAAAATTCAAGGGCGACGG